AATACTGAGCTCCCTCTAATTTGTATTGTTGATGTAAAATCTACCCGGAAACATTAGTTTAATTATAACGAGGTGTGTAAAGATGTTAATATCAGTGACAACACACCTATGTCATGAAATTGCAGTAATTCCAAATACATGTATGGCGCCAGTGTCCATGTTATAACAGGAGACCTTAACATCGTCCAGGACCGAGTGTTGAAACATTTCCTTAGTAAAGGACCTAAATATCGTCCCCCGTCAATTAATAATTGAAATGGTCCATCCACGATTCACTCCTAACTTACTGCACGAAATTGATAAAACGAGAAAAAGCTGACAAAAAATCCTTAGTTTTTTTTTTTTTAATTCAGTAATGAACATAGTTGATATTCGTATTAAACATTTTAAAGAACATTTGACTCCTAACAACAACCATAATAGCCCTATATCTCGTATCAAACATAAGCTAAAAGAACTCGCCAAGGAATTTGTTTTTGTCCCGGCTGATAAAGCTGCCAAAAATATAATTATTGTTAAACGTAAATTTTACATTGAGGTTCTGCAAAATAAAATCACAATTTCACCAACATTCAAACTGACTCCATTTTCGAAAAATGACATCTGTCACAAACATAAACTTTTAGCTACCTCTTTACAATCAGAACCAAATACAATGAAATTTACAACTTTGTACTGGCTTCCGAAGCTGCACAAAACACCTTACAAATATAGATTTATTATGTCTTCAAGCCATTGTTCCACTTCTTAACTGTCTATTCTACTTACTAGTACACTTGGTACACTCAAAAACCTGGTAATAAAAATGTTCAAACTAGGCCTTTGAAAATAGTTGAATTCATTACTTTTGGAGTGTCAAAAATTCGTTGGAAGTACTTGATAAATTGCATGCTTATATTGGTGATTTCGAATTTGTTCAAAGTTCTGATATTTCTACCCTATATACCACTTTGCCTCTCAATCACGTTGAGAAAAAAATCACACATCTAATTAAATGGGCATTTAAAAAGTCAGAATGCGAATATATATGTTCAAATTCTTTTAGGTCATGTTTAAGTAACAACAAACAAAAGAACTATGTCAATTTGACCTGCATTGATACGATAACTGCTCTTTAATTATTACTAGAAAATATTTTTGCTATGGAGATTCCGTATATCGTGAAGTTATTGGAATTCTAATGGGAACTAGCTGTGCACCACTTATTGCGGACCTGTTTCTGTATTGCTATGATTTACAGTGTATGACTATAACCAGCAAAGACCCATCGAAACAACATCTGATACAAAAATTTTATAACACTATGAGATATTCGGATGATATTTTGACACTCAATAATGACGACTTCAGTATGTACACTAAAGATATTATCCTGCTGAACTGACTTTAAATAAAGCTAATACTAACATTGAACACTGCCCTTTCCTGGATCTTTTATCTTTAACGAGAAGCTTAATACCAAAATTTAGGATAAAAAAGATGATTTTTCATTTCCTATTGTTAATCATCCATTTTTAGATGGTGACGTTCCCTTGTCACCATCTTATGGTGTTTTTATATCTCAACTTGTTCGATTCGCTCGTGTATGTAACAACGTATTTGATTTAAACGAAAGAAATCTCTGTATTACTGAAAAAGAATTACACCAGGGTTTTCGATATCACAAACTAGTCAAAACATTTACTTAATTTTATCATCGGTACAAGGACATCATTCGTAAACATAAATCGACATGCAGACATCTTATACGTTCAGATATTTCACATCCAATCTTTTATGGTAATATTCTATACAAAGCAAAAAAAATGTCATCATTCACCTCAAAAGCTAACCAAACCTTTAAACAGACTTATTCAGAAGGGATATAGTTACGATACTGTTGTCAGGTCATTAAAGATGGCATATTTTGGAATTAATATTGATTCACTCATATGGTTTTTGCATCGGAATTAAACACATTCATTCTAAAACAAGTTGTTGGCATGATACGGGTTATGTTCTTCTCATGTATCTGATGATGGTATGATACTAAACCCCTAACGGGAGGGATTGTGCTTGATTTTCATATGCTGAAGACATAATCTTTCAATCAGTTTAATTGTGGTCTGGAGCTGGCATGTCAGTAACTGTTAGTAGTCCTTTGTTAATCTATGTATAATTGTCATTTTGCTTAGTTTCTTCTGTTACCTATTCTGACATCGGACTCGGACTTCTTTTAAACTTAGTTTATCTGTGCGTATTGCTGTGTGTTTGTTTATTCTAGATTGGCTAGAGGTATAGGGGGAGGATTGAAATCTCACAAAGCATGTTTAACCTCGCCGGATTTTTGCGCTTGTCCCAAGTCAGGAGCCTCTGGCCTTTGTTAGTCTTGTATGTTTTTTTTTAATTTTTAGTTCATTTATATGTTTCGGTGTTTAGTGTGACGTCCATTTTCACTGAACTAGTACACATTTAGGTTTCGGGGCCAGCACAAGCTCGCCTCCGGGTGCGGGATTTTCTCGCTGTGTTGAAGACCCATTGTGGGCTTCGGCTGCTTTCTGATCTTTAGCCGGGTTGTTGTCTCTTTGACACATTCCCCATTTCCATACTCAATTTTACTTTCACAAAAAAGGTATTAATGTTGGTTTTAGGATCGTAGTTTTAGTTACTTTATTTTGTTTATTAGGAAACTTGCTTTGATGGAAGACATATAGATAAGGAAAAACATGTAGTTCTATTCATTTTCAGGTTAAAAGGCAACAGTTTCTAAATCAGACAAGACATAAAGAAAAAAAAATTGCAATTTGTTGTTTCTGTCTGATGTTTTGAGATACACGTGTTAGATATTAATAAAACTGATGCAAGTGGATTAAAGTAAAACAATAGAAAATCCTTTTGATTTTAAGGATTTTAAGTCAGATGGTCGAAAGATCAAGTCATAGTTGCTAAAGATAGCTATTCATATTAGATAACGTCTTAGAAATACGGATTTAAAAGAAATATCTTAAATATTTATTTCTATTTATAGCTTGCAAAATGAACTTCGCTCAATTTGTTTAAAGTGTATGCCCCTAAAAGGGTTGAATGGATATTATCACTTTGGAAATATTATTGGAAATAATTTTGGTTTATAGATAATTGACTTCTTAAACCAATGTGGTTGTCAATAGTGGCTATATGCCATAATGTTTTCCGTTCATAGGTGTAGTATTAAACAGGCAGTTTATAAAGATAAGAAGATGTGGTATGATTGCCAATGAGACAACTCTTTACAAAAGACCAAATGACAAAGAAATTAACAACTATAGGTCACCGGACGGCTTTCAACAATCAGCAAAGCCCATACCGTATAGTCATGTTTTGCCTTTTATGGTTCACTTTTCGATATAGATGTATGTGTTGTTTAAGGCCACACGTTGACCTATCATTGTTCACATATTTGTCCTTTGGTCTGTAATGAATAGTTGCACGAATTGCTATTATACTAGAAATCCTTTTTTGTACACGGTATATGATAACATCATAAATATTGAAATATTTCCTCCCTATTTTACGATAAAACATTCAATCTAGTATCAGAATTTTTGAATATGTTGTATAAGTTTCTTCTTCTTTTTTTTTTTCTTTTTTTTTGCAGCTGGAAGAGTACCTGAACATTTATTTTTGACTTCATGATAATTGTTTTTAAATGCACAGTACGCTTCTAAGTTACTTTCGTTGTTTTTTGCTGTGGTTTGAGTTGTTAAATCTTTGAATTTGTGTGAACAATGCATTGTGTTATGGGCTGTTGTTTGTCTATATGTGTTGTTTGCTGTTGGTCATGATGTTATCAGAATTTTTTCTGATATTTATCCGAATTTCTTCTGATAATATTACTTGCTGGCTTCTTGATATTTCATCCCTTTTTTTTATGCCGAAAAAAAATTACAAAAGGGTATTAAAAAGTCATTTTATGATATACTACAAGAAACGTCATCGTGAAACTATACCACAAAGTAATCCTGACTCAATATATAAAAAAAAATGCAAGTCAAAAACGGACTAAAATAAAAAAAAAAATAAACATGCATACTGGGCATACATCGAACATACTATTTTTGATGTCGAAATTATAGAACAAAACCAGCAGGTTTTAACAAATAACCTACACAACTATACTCTTTTATGAAAAGCATGTAATCAATCCACTCATTCACAACTTAATTCATTGCAAATAATGAAACCAAAGTAATTCCATTAACATTAGACGTTCTTGTTGCAGAGTACGAGAATCTACGTGTTTGTCTCATTTATATTCTTGATTTCATGATTGACATTATATTTATTACGTTTGAAGGACTTTTTATTTGATTTTAATCGTGTTAAAGAAAACTACAAAAAGGACGAAAAATTCTAAATGCTTATGTTTGGATGTTACTATCGTTTCAGACACTGCGGTCTTAAATTCACTGACAAGGTGATTGTAAAAATTAATCAAGGGATGGAGTTTACATAGTTTTTTTGTGTTGTATTCAGTCTAACGTTCATCGTCATTATTCAGAAATGGTTAAGTGCGGGAAAATTATCATCGACAAATAAACTTTCTATTTAAGTATGTTACAAGAAAAATGTATATGAACAAAAAATGTTCTTCTGAAGTTTAGGTTGGTTAAGTATTGTTTGAGGAAATAGAAACAAGACTTGTATTGAGACTGAACGAGTCTCTGACTATTAACTGATAATGTGTGTGTTTATGTACATTATAAATACATCAAAACATAATTGTGTAGTACATACATCTACTATGATGTGATTATAAAACCACGTGTCTTGCAAGAGGAAACAAATGTGCATTTGACCCAATGACGTACATAGTTTTAAAATATGCATACTGTACAACCCCACATTAAACAAAAATCCATTTGACATTTAACAGAATTCATCATTTGCGGTTAAGTAATATATTTCCTTGTGTGCATGTAAATAATAAACAAATTAATCAAAATGGTATAAAAGAACAGTTCTGAAGTAGGAAATCACTATTCATTCATTCATTAGAAAGACTGATAACTGCTTCAAAATAAGGTAAGATTTTTATCAAGTTTAAGTGTTAAGTTACAAAAATTGATAATTTGTACACCTATTTCTTTTAAACCAAACATTGCTTTAAAAACATGAAAAAGTATGAAATTGAAAATTTTACTTTTTTAACGAAATTTTGAAAATTTACTGAATGTAAAGTGCGATACAGAAATAAATCACTTTTGCATAAATTAGTAGTATGTCAAATTCTGAAATCGGTGTATTTGATACAATTGGGATCTTTCTGTTTTATATCATTTCCATTTAATATGTAATTCCAATACATATTTAAAAAAATAAAAAAATTAAAACTACATATTAATATACATTTATGAAAACGGTTCACAGTAAGATTGGACATATGTTTCGTTCCTTCAACTCCCTTGAAAAATTTTATTGCGGTCGAAATATTGCATCTATATTCATTTCACCCTCTTTAGTCGGTCTTTATTGTTCTGATGATCTTACTTTTATCTTTGATGCTCATTTTCCAAAACAATATTGTGTATGCTCATTAAGCAATAATTCGAACATAATACAAAACCTGAACAACCGGATCGATTTTTTTTTTAAGTCTTGCCGAGGATTTTTTTAAAAACGTAAATGGCTTGCAGGTCTAGAGTGATAAAAGCAATTTTCGTAAATAACTGATTAATTATTATTTTACTCACTTAGTATTTTTTAAGACATGGTTATCCTGTATATTTCAGATTCTTGGAGATGATGGGATTTCAAACAATATTATTGTCAATGGCATTGACCATAATGACAGTTGTCGGTAAGAACTATATCAGATTCGCTCAGATTGATGTGTTGTTATTTGACTTTCAAACTGTTTTGATACGAGCGCCAATGATGTGTCGTATGTAAACGACAAGTGCGTCAGGTGTTCCATACTATACATGCTATAAGTCTTGTATCTTTGGTGAGCTTTTTAATAAAACAAAGTTTTCTGAAGTAGTTAAGATAAAAACTAATAAACTAATCAAATATACCTCGCTTATATTCTGTACGACAGATCCGCGTGTTGTCTATCAGGAAAGCTCGAATCAGACAGTTAAAATGCCAAATCAGGTACGAAGTTGAAGAGCATTGAGGACCCAAAATGTCTGAACAGTTTTACGAAATACAGCTAAAGTAATCTATTCCTAGGATAGGGAATCTTTTTTTTTTTCGAATAAAATTCAAAGTTTTGTTAACAGTTACTTTATGATATCAACCTAAATGATTACTGATCGATCATTAAATATGTAATAATGATTTTAATTCTAATTAAAATAACATATTATAAGTCGGTGTGTGGTTTTGTGGTATTCACCTTAACCAGGAACGCTTAAACAAGTTTTAAACATTTGTATAATTTAAATTGTACAAATTTTTATATTTTTTTTACAGCCTATACACCTACAGAAAAACAATTAGGTATTCATGAAGTGGACAAAGTTTTGAAGCTTGAAAATGCAATTGGTAGAGACATCGGTGGTCATCGTGGAGAATCATTTTCTGTACTTGATGTAATTGATGCAAATAGACTAGCAGGATCTGACAGAAGAAGCTCAGACGTCTCCGAAATCATACGAAGCGTATCATCTCAAAGGTCTGGTGGTGTATCAAGCAATGGTGCACTGAACCGAAATTGTCATTATGAGTGTGGAGTAGATAAACTTTGTAACCTAGGAAAGAAATGTGTACGTGATGGTTGTAACAGTTATTGCGTCCTTATTTCTTCTGGGAGTGTCATTGGTGCATCAGGGTTGTCAGAGTCTATAAGAAGGGGAAACATTGTCTCAGAAATTATCAGAGGTTCGTCATCTGACCTGACCAGGCTGTCAAGCATTGATGGTTCTAAATGCAGTTATGGATGTGGAGAAAATAAACTATGTGCGTCAGGACTTAAATGTGTTCACGAAGGATGCAACAGCTATTGCGTACAAATATCATCTGGTAGCATAATTGGTTCATCTGGTCAGTCGTTGGCCGGACGTTTGGATCTATCCAACACTGCTCATTTGGAAACCATTGGTAGAAGTGGTGCAATTTCTGGTCACACAGGTTCCGATATTCTTGACGCTATCTCATCTAGACGTAGTGTCATAGATGCATTGGACACAGTTTCTTCTAGACGAAGAGGATCAGTAAGTCAATCTGGTTCAGGGATCGTATCTCAGACAGTAGTAGGAGAACACAGTGGTTGTAGAAGACTATGTCATAATGATGCAGATTGTCCACAAAGCAAGTACTGTACCACTGTAAAATGTCACAGGATTTGTAGAAGAAGACCGTCTAATGGATACTCACGATGAACAGAATTAGAAATTTGAAGAAATCCACATTTTGTACTGATTTTTTTATTATGAAATAAATAAAATGTTGAATACATTTAATCTTGTTGTAAATCTGTCCAGATTCATACAAAATCAAATAGTTTAGAAATCAAGGCAATCATAATCATAAAAAGAATTATATCATACAGACAGATATATATTCAGGTATAGTAAATCTAACATAAATATAGAAACAAAGTCAATTTGAAGTTATTTTATTTACTCTGAACTTTTGAAACTCATTAAAAAACGATGATACAATCATTACTAATGTGTAAACATATGATGTGGCCTAAATAAACGTCTATGAGACACAACAGCACAAAATCTCAAAAGACATAAAAATTGTCATCATAAGATTTTATATGAACCGTAATGTTGGCCTTAGTGATTACAAAATAATGAACAGTAATACATGTCACTGCTCCTAATATTTTGATTGAATTTAACTAGTCAAAAGTGTTTTTAACAATTAAGTTATTTGAAAAAAAAAATATTCATGAAAGAAGTACAATTATGGTTGGAATTCAAATGTAGAATTAAAACAAACAAGCGTGATTAAATATATATAAAGCCGTCACCTGGAAAAACAAATTTCAATGAATACTTGAGGAAATATACGAAACGGTAACATACAATTTAATATTCGAAAGACAGTTATTGAATCCTTCATGCAGATTAAAGAAGCTCGCTCGCGGTCAACTCGATATGTCATTTATATATAAAAATAAGGTGATTTGGTATGAATGCCAATGAGACAACTATCTCTCAAAGGTCAAATGAAGTGGATGTAAGCAATTATAGGCAACCGCACGGCTTTCAACAATGAGAAAAAAACCATGCCGTATAGTCGGCTATAAAAGGCCCCGACATAAAAAAATTCATGTATTTCAGACTAAAATATCAATCAGTACACATCCACCATTCAATGGATTTAGTTTAAAGACGTCATTAACAGTCAGAGAAAAACATGACCTTGTGCAATGTTAATTTACGTTCATCGGGAACGCTAAAAGTAGAATATTTGAAAGCGAATGATGTATAAGAACCTAAACTATTGGAAAGCTATAGGTTGCAATTCTGTAATTATAGACAAACAATTTCCCATAGGAACTCCTTTCACGGCTAAAAATGTACCACTTTTACTATGCAGTTTCGTAAAAAATTATATCCTAGAATGGAAAGCTCATGCTAACTACTATTTATATCAAAGGTCAAAATAAAGTGCTGTGCGGCATACTTTCAACATTTATGTAAAATAGAATTGAGAATGGAAATGGAGAATGTGTCAAAGAAACAACAACCCGACAAAAGAGCAGAAAACAGCCGAAGGCCACCAATGGGTCTTCAACACAGCGAGAAAATCCTGCACCCGGAGGCGGACTTCAGCTGGTCCCTAAACAAACATGTGTACTTGTTCAGTGATAATAGACGTCATACTAAACTCCAAAACATATAAATGACCAAAAATTAAAAATCATACAAGACTAACAAAGGCCAGAGGCTCCTGACTTAGGACAGGCGCAAAAATGTGGCGGGGCTAAACATTTTTTGCGAGATCTCAACCCAGCCCCTCGTCCAGCCTATACCTCTAGCCAATGTAGAAAAAACAAACACACAACAATACACACAGTTAAACTCAGTTTAAAGGAAATCAAAGTCCTTTGTCAGAATAGGTAACAAAAGAAACTAGTAAGCAAAATGACAATGATACATAAATTAACAAAGGACAACTAGCAGTTACTGACATGCCAGCTCCAGACCTCAGTTAAGCTGATTAAAAGAGTATGTCTTCATCATATGAAAATCAAGCACAATCCCTCTCATTAGATGTTTAGTATCATACCATCATAAAATATATGAGAAAAACATAACCCGTATCATGCCAACAACTGGTTTTAGAATAAATGTGTTTATTTCTGATGCAAAGACCATATGAGTAAAGCAATATCGAAACCAAAATATGCCATCTTTAATGACCTGACAACAGTATCGTAACTATATCCCTTCTTAATAAGTCTGTGTAAAGGTTTGATTAGCTTTTGAGGTGAATGCCGACATTTTTGTGCTTTGTAAAGAATATTACCATAAAAGATTGGATGTTAAATACCTGAACGTATAAGATGTCTGCATGTTGATTATTTTTACGAATGATTCCCTTGTACCGATGATAAAATTTAGTAAATGTGCCTCGAACTTCTTAGAGTTTAAACTTATACTAAAATTCTATACTGTCCCTCCCTTCACTTTGGGTCTTCCACAGATTTCAATTTGGCCGCTACTCATGTATATTTATACTGGTAACATTCCCAAGTTATGTCTCTACGAGATAAAGCATAGAGATCATATCTGGGAACCAGTAGGTAAACAAAACAAAATATCTATGAATATTATATATCTCCCCAAAAGAGGCGTAGTTTGTGAAACAGCTGTATTTACAAAGTGCAACCTATACTAACATTTATATCAATAGAAAAAGCTAAAAAAACAACTTTTTCTCACAACAATAGTTTTTTATCAGAATCATAGCCTAAAAAAATCACTGCATATGCTCTTACTTTTGATTTACAGTACATTTTATACCCCACCCCTGTTTCAATTTTTAAAGAATTTGAATACAAGACTTTTAATTATCGTCAGCTTACCTTATGTGCATGTTTTATGACTTGAAATGTCTAGAACCTCTTTGAAACTATTCTGTTAACAAATTGAAAGCATTTAAGCATTTAAAAATACTGTAAATGTAAAGTTTAGTAGTTAATCATTCCAACATGCAAGATAATATAAAGTATGCAATCCTTCCTCAGTCCCAAGTCCACATCTTACTGTATGCCTATTTATCAATAAAAGTTCACAATTTCTGCTTCAAATGGTCAATTAAGAGATCGATCTTGTCACAACACTATCCTTTCTAACCATATATCTAACATAATTTAGCTAATATATGAACTAGAAGTGTTCAAACAAAGCCATTTTTGCAAAAGTTGTATGTATGAAGTTACCAGTCTGATATATGAATTCACTAAAAGTTTAAAAGAACTGACTGCTAACACCTGTTTTTGCATTACTTCCAAGCACAGCTATTATTTTTATACAAAAGACCTTTATAATAATAAAATCATAGCATTTACATGTTAAATTATCAGTTTTATGACCCAGTGGTTAGGCATTTTCTCTGTTTTTTGCCACTGTGGCCTCGACTTTGCTACATAATTCTGCTGTTTCCGTGAATATGGAATAATCAGTACGTATCTAGGATAGAACACACTATTGTTAGTTTTATCGAGGTATATTTGTATCTTTAGCCTGTATTTTAGGTCACAAAAAAGCACATTAAGGTATTGCCTCTTACTTTTGGGTTATCGACAGCACAAAACCACGCCGACAACAATATTCTTCAAGGATCTATGAGTTTCAGTGACTGCGAAGAGAAAACATAAGCATTTCTAAGCAATTCAAATTACGAATATGCATATATTATGAATTTACTTTGCATACAGGGCTTAAAATAAACTATACATACTGTACACTGTGAATTTATGATGAATCATCATAGTCATAACTCCTTTTACAGCTAAAACTGTACCACTTTTAATATGAAGCTTCGTAAAAAATTATATCCTAGAATGGAAAGCTCATATGCACTACTATTTATATCAAAGGTTAAAATATAGTGCTGTGCGGCATATTTTCAACATGTATGTGCCCGCACTTCAAAGAGTTTGAAAGGTAAAATAACAAAAATACCGAACTCCGAGGACATTTCAAATACCGAACTCCATGGAAAATTCTTAAACTTTTACTAAAATTCGGTATTATCCCTTCCTTTACTTTGGGTCTTCCACAGATTTCAATTTGGCCGTTACTCATGTATGTTTATACTGGTAACATTCCCAAGTTATGTCTCTACGTGATGAAACATAGAGGTCATATCTGGGAACCAGTAGGTAAACAAAACAAAATATCTATGAATATTATATATCTCCCCAAAAGAGGCGTGGTTTGTGAAACAGCTGTTTTTACAAATTGCAACCTATATGACTAAAAAGGTACATAAAGAAAGGTAAGGTCAACTTTGCAGGAGGAAGTTGAAACCTTAGTTTCTTTATGATTTCTAAATTTATCAACGGATAATTTTAGAAAAGTTTTTCATAACTTTGTTTAGGCTTGTTGTCTAGCTTACTCTTCACTGATACGCTTAGTCATCTATGCGTGCTATCAAGGGTAGATGTCTTTACTAATGTGTTGATGGCTAAATTATAATAATTGATCAAATCGAATGTCCAACTTAACCCTCCCGATTAATAGTCTGTGGAATTAAACAAACATGTCATGTTCAGGAAGGGTATTGGCGAAAAAGATCAATCGTGAGAAAGATTTTTATTTTGACTATAAGATTCTATCGACTGTTATTTTTCTGTACATTGTAAAATGAAATGCAAACTTATTTTTACCTGATCACAGGAACAAAGTGCGCTGTCGGTAAGAGTGAATCGTTTTAAAAGTTGTTTAGGATATATTTGGCCCGGAATATTAGGTCCATGGTTTTAAGATTAAAAAAGTTTCAATTTGATGAAAAGACATGTAAAGATGTAAAATAGAACTACGTCATATATACGGTTGACCTCAAATGAATTTTTATGAAAACCATCTATTTTGGTTGTGCATGCGCTCCATGTTTGTAATAATTTTGCTTATATGACGTCATTAAAAGAACGATAATACGTAATACTCGCCAAGGAATATATTTTTGTTCCGGCTGATAAGGCTGCTAACAATATCATTATTGTTTGACGTTAATTTTACATTGATATTCTACAAAAGGAAATCACGAATTCCCCAACATTCCAACTGACTCCATTTTCGGAAAATGACATCAGTAACAAACATAAACTTTTAGCTACCTCTTTACAAGCAGAACAAAATACAATGAAAGTTCCAACTATGTACTGGCTTCCGAAGCTGCAGAAAACTCCTTATAAATATAGATTTAGTTCGTCTTCAAGCCATTGTTCCCCTAATAAACTACCTATTCTACTTACTAGTACACTTGGT